AGTCTCCTAAGTTTTCTTCTCCATGGGAAGGCCCATGTGGCATAGTGGATCAGCTCTCAGACGTGACTTTCCAGATAAAATATGGTCAGCGAGGTAAGCCAAAGGTGGTGCATGCCAACAGGCTTTGGCGTTGTCACGGTCCAAGACATTTCAGTTGGGATGAAGTGAACAATGGAACAAATGACGCTGCTGAAGACGTGTCACCTGTAAAAGTCACTGTCGAAGAAAAAACTCTATTCGGTTTTGAGAAGGGAAACAGTGAAGCCCTTGATGAAGTTACTATTACTGATGTGACTGTTACCAATGATAGGACGTTTCCTGATGAAGCAGATGAACCCCACATGAAGCAGAAGTCAACGAGACAGAGACCAGTGCGGAAGAAGATACGTCCCGAAAAATTAAAAGACTTTGTTGAATTTTAATTTTGTGTTTGTAAATTCTGTACATTTAATTAAGTTATTGTTTATTAGTTTAATGTAAGTGGCTATTGTTGAGGACGAACAATACTAAGGAAGGGGCAGTGCTACGACAGTGGGGTCACGTGACGAGTATTCTAGAAGATTCGCTAGTGTGTTACGACAGCGGGGGTCACGTGACGACAGCAGAAGTCAAGTAATGCTGGTAGCACGTGTTGAGAGTCTTAGAAGTTTCTAGAACAGGCAGTATTATCGTATATAAGTGTGCTAGATAGTGAGAGAGACAGATGGAGTCGAAACAGTAGTGGAGACAGAGACGGAGGCAGAGACGTAGCGGAGATGAAGCAGGCAGAGAGAAAGAAAGACAGCGATTACGGTCAGCGGGAACTGAGGATAGCAGACACAGAGATCGGAACTATAGTTTGCGGGGACGGACAATTAAGTCTAAGCGCGATAGAAAGTGAGTGAATTGTTGTGAACTATAGTATGTGTAACTGTGAAAATTAAGTACATTACAAAGTTGTATTGAGGAAGAATAAACAAGTTTTATAAAGAAAGGACTTGTATCTTAGAAGAATTAACAAACAAACATACAGAGACGTAACAATATTGTCACTGTAATCAGCATGTTGATTTTATAACAAAAATATCTTCTTTCAAGAAATAAACAAAACAAAAATGTTTAAATTAGTTTACCAGTGTTTAATATAATTATTCTGAGAACACTCATAAAAAGTTTGGTGTATATAACTGAAAGTCAAACAGCAGAAATGAAAGTACTGAGAATAATAATGAGTGACAAGATTTTATATACCGAATGAAAAACACAATAATTAAAGGATTTAAATGTAATATCAACATTAGAAATAAGATGAGATGGTATGTTCACATACAATGAATAAAAATATTTACATACCTAAATAAAGTTTCTGAATAGGGATCTACAAGATAGAAGATAATCTGGAAGATCTCAAATGAGATGAGTATAAAAACAAAAGATGCTCTTGAAGATACATTTGAAGATAGAACAGTGTGGAGAATAGAATAGGCACAGTGACTGACAGGACTAACTGACATTGGTGATATGAAATGAGACTAACAATTAAGAAATAAAAAAAATTTAAAACATTAAACAAATCTTCATCAACTTGACATTGTTTAATATCATTAAGAATGGTCATATTCATAGCTTCAAAATATTATCTCTGACAAAAATAAACATAGCGATAAATAAAATATTCATATTATAACAAACATACTTGGTTTCATAAATGTTGAAATATACGCAGGTAAAGTTCTTAGTTCTCTGTAAAAACAGCAAAACAAATGTTATTCACATAGATATTTCAGAAATTTAGAAAAATTTATTCCTTTTACAATGCTCTTAAGCTAATAGAATTGGATAAAATTTGATTCCAAGAAAAGTACAAAATCTCAAACTTAAATATTACTTAGTTACTCTCTCTAAGATTTAATTATTTTATTTAATTAATAAAAATTAGTTGTTTTTGGTATTGAAAAATTAAATGAGAAACATATTTGAGTATCAATAATTTTGTAAGAAAGAAATGAACTTGTCTACATCAAAAACTTATTCCTTATCACAATATCCATAGATGTGACTAATCACAGGTGACAATACAAAACATACTTATTATGAAAACCTCCAGTTTTTTAAAATTTTAATGAATGTTTACACTCAGTAACAAAAAGAAAGAACTAGTTTATTACTTAATGCTTTGGGACAACATGGGACCTTTTGGTCCATCTCGGCTGTTCCATCCTCTAAACTAAATTAAAATAATTATTAAAAATAAAGTTAAAGCCAGCACTTCTTGGGAAATAAGAGGGTTCCAAACTTGAAACAGCTAGCTGATGAACGACTTCAAACATATAAAATAATGGGACGTAACAGCCTATGCAAGCATAAAGGACCTGAACAGAACTTGTTAACCATATAAGTAATCTATCTTTATTCACAACTATGATAGATATCAGCAAGATATGATTATTGTGATAACTGGTCTTTAGTCACATTATTTTACATCAAACATAACATTACGAAAGAGAGACAGAACATGGGTTTTTATTGTTTTTTTTTTTCTAAACAAAACAATACAAAAACGTAATATTGAAATAATAAAATGTGCTCTGTACTACAAATGTTTCTTGCAGAAAATACCCAAAACTTTCAAAGTCTACTATTTTACTTTAGAACACTGTTGATAAATGTTTAATTGATCATTCTTATTAAAGATAATTCTTTTCAAGCAAATAAAAATGAAGCAATTTTTAATTACGCTGTATGAAAAACTTACTTCGTTATCATATTCAAATGCTATATCAACGAAGAATGGCTCATTCAAGGTATCCTGAGGGTATGGTTCAAAGGCAACTGAGACAACTGTGTTCAAGGGGAACACAACATCACGTGATGTAGGCTCAACAAAACCAACACCTGTTACACAGATGACAACTCGAACTTCAGACACATTTTGTCTTGAAGAAACTGTAATTAAATAATGATAATGCCATACAAAATGTAGTAGACAGTGTTTTGTATGGAAGTTATAGTTGAAAATCCTTAACTCACGTTAAAGAAAAAATAAAGTATTTCCATCTTTACATAAAAGGTTCTGGAATGTTGATTTAACTGTAAAAATAAAATACAAAATAAAAAATATTAGGAATATTCATACAAAAAACTATAATAAAATTAAATATGACACAGATGACAATCATTAAAAACACAGCAGGTGAATGTATCCTTCAGTTATTTTAGACATAAATACTTTCCACAGGTCCTAAAGTAATAATATGACATGTCCTGTGCTAATATTTAAACTTAATGGCTACAATTTGTCTCTTCATTGAAGAATGTGACAACTGCATGCTGTTAATGTCACCAATGGTAGGTGTAATAGGGATAACCAGGATAAAATTTTTAAGAAGTATCTATCATCAAACCTACTTAAAGCAGCCAATGACTTAGAAGACAAACTTATGGCAGCCCCTTGACTTTTGTACTCAAGACCTTCACTATGAATGGCAGATAACTTGCGTAGGTGCATTTCTGAAAGTAAATGAAATATAACACAGTGGATATTTTCAATCACTCATTGTTCTTTCTTTACAAGCATAATGGCAGCTCATTATCCTATGTAACTTATTTGTTTAAACATTACAGAATGTGTTATAATGAAAGTGTAAAGATAATATGCATGTGCAAAAGTTTAAATAACTCAAAAGCACAGAGAATGTGTACAGTATTTGAAATATACTATTAAATGTTATACATTACATTATTAGGTCTTAAATCAAAAGAAAAGACAAGTTTCTAACATTTTTATAAATACTTTTATTAAAATGATTTGACATCTTTGCTTATTATTTTGTGGTTACTAACATAAGAACTTTCATACAATGTTACTGAATGAAGATTAGTTTCCCTAAATCTTCATGCATTATTTTATAATGAAACCTATAACTTATTACTGACATGCATTATAAATAGATTGTTAAAGAAATCAAATTTTATTAACATTTGTCCTAAAAATTAAAAAAAAAACGTAGGTAAGATTTTGTTACATCACCTGAACAGTTTCCTTTGTATGTTATGGAAGAAGGTTCATTTTCAGCCAAAGATCTTAAAGATTTTACAGCTAGCAGTTCAGTTGATAAAATGAAACTTGCCACCTCCTTGTTGAAATAGAATGTATTTATGTAAGTCACATAACATTGAGTTAAATAACACAAGGTATTATTTTACAGAAATGGTTAAAACATTTCTTACAGAAACTTGGCTCAATCACGACTCACATATTTATTTTCAAATGACAATTTGAACCTATCTAAAGCAAAATATCAAGTTCATAATTAATTTTAACTTTAAAATCAATAAAAGGTATACAAGGTTAAGGAGTATGATAACTTTTTCTCGCCCCTGGTAAGGATTTACAAACAACAAGGATGCATTATACACTAAAAAATACCTGTAATGATGATAAATTACATGCTTTAATTAGCAAAGAAATATTTAATTGGTTACATTACACAAGAAACATCTAGCAATGCTACAAATACCACAAAATAATTAAACATCAATCACAAAGTACAAAAAAATGCCCCCCCATAGTGGCATACTGGTAAGTCTGCAGACTTATAATGCTAAAAGCCAGATTTTGATACCCATGGTGTGCACAGCACAGATATCCCATTGTGTAGCTTTGTGCTTGACAACAAACATACAATATATATAATTAAAACCTTTGAACACAAATTATAATAGTGTCTTAACCTATACATAATAACACCCTCTCAGTAAAAAGGCAACAGTTAAAAAACCTTTTAACAATGAAATATTGAATTGGATACAACAATACTTACAACATAACATCAACATTGAAATGAGCTCAATCATAATACAAAACCAAATTTCAATACTTCATACAAAACAGACTACACAAAACATGTGCAACTCTTTATAATAACTCAACATAAAACAAAAATTAAAACACAAAATAAATCCCTAATAATAAAGAAAATACACACAGGTAAAAAATAAGCACTTTAAAATAAATTACAACAAAGCATGGCAAAAGATGCAATATTTTTTTTACAATATCTATAATACATCATACATTCAAAATGTAAAAAAAGATAAGACCCTTTAACAAAATTGAACAAGAAAAAGAAACTAAAGGAAACATCCCATGAAACCAAAATGAAAATATATTAGAATCCTTAATAAAATATATACAAAGTGACCAACTGCACATTTGTAATAAACAAGAAACAAAAATAAATAAATAACACAGAAAATTAATAAATGCAGAAATGCCTATTAATATGAAAAATACACACTTAAGTAAATGAACAAAGGAAAGAATACATAGAAACATACACCAAAGGACAAGCATGAGTATAACTCCCCACACTTCTCCCCCATCAATAGATCTTCCAATGTGTCCATTGATTGGCCCCAGTGGTCACAATGATAATTTCACATGCTTTGGGCACGACCATTTTTGTTTTGGTCAGCTCAGACCACTTCCTCCTCAAGCCTTGACCACAGTTGTGATGGTCTTTTCTCTTGTTATGCGGACCACAGGTGTTGAAACTCTCATGCAGCCATTTCCTGGCAATTGACCTTGAAGATGAACATCTGTGATGATATGGGGTGAGTGGTGATAATTGGAGTGAAGTGGTCAAGAGCTTTACCCCAAGCTGCTATTGGAATATTTCATGGGACCTTCTAAGTGATGGAGTTTGACCATTATGGATGAAGAACCTATTGTTTCATCTCTGGACTGGTCCTAGGAGCCAGCAATATTATTGAGCCAGTTGTTTAGGAGGAAATGCCCTCGTTGATCCTGAAAGCTCTTGTTGTCAATGATGGTTGTTGTGCCACTGGCAATGACTCGTTTACAGCTTGCTTGCTCTTAGTAATGAAAAGCCATCTAGTGGTGATGGGAACTGCTCGAATCTCTAGTGCTATTGTTGATATTGCGAGGCAAGCATTGGTGGATATCTTGTGCATGCTGTTCTGGTATCTCATGATAGCTTTAGCTCTGAGAAAGTCTTTTCAGGATTTAGTGGTTCTGCCAAAGGTGGGTGCACATCTGGTAGCATCACATGGTGGTGATTAAACTTCCCCCTATGGGACACTTCAAATGAGGCTACAATGCCTCAATGTTTGCCACTACCCATCATTCACTACCAATAGAGTTGCAGTTTGTGGCTATGACTGAGTCAACTGCAGGCTTAGTTCAATTACAGTAGAAGTGGTGGTCCATGGCAGGTTCTCCGAGACCATGATGCCCACATTGGTGTAGATTCGAATTCTGCAGGTGAATCCATGCATATTACAGTGCAACATTAAATTTTAATATTGAAAGCCATGTAGGGATGATCTAAGTATAGCTGTATCACCCCTATTATATATTCTTGTTTGCATTCTTTTTGGAATTGCCATCCTTACATCATTTTACATTTACAAAATGTTTTTGATTACTTGTTTTGTGATATTTTTTTTCCTGACTGAAAATTAGCGTATTCTAGGAATGTGTGTAATAAAATTTTATATTATGTGTACTGATTTTTTTATTTCTTCACTTCATAAATAACAGAGGGGTTGGCTCCCTAAAGACACCAATTGTATAGTGTACAAAACATTGAGTATTCTACATGATATTATTGGCTGGTAATTCCTGTTTCACCGTGTACTTAAGCTTTTTAAAGGAACACCACATTTCTGTAAAAAAAGCTAACTTCAAGGGGAGATGATAACATCACTTACACTAGAATTATGCTTTTTTTAAATTACTACTAGTTATTATGACTAACCAATTACATCTTGCACTGCCAAGAAACACAGTGTGGGTTTAGGTTTGAATTGACATTAGTGATAAAGTAATTGTAGAGGTATTTCAACTGAAACAAAAAGAGGGATGAACAATTTGATGAGTTGGTAACTTTCTAGTTTGGTAGGTTAGTAATGGTTTCTTGCCTTGTTTTTGGGCTTGTTGGATAGAGAAACAAATGAACGTGAGTGGCAATCATCTTTTAAAGTAAAACTCTCTGTTATTGTTGGTTTTTTAGTGTGTATATTTGTATCATGCCTATTGAGTACTTTGGTCATCCCTACATATAGAATCTACCGACACTATGATAATCTCACCCACTCATAAATATTTCAGTTCTATCCACTCTTGCACAACTCTTAATGAAAAACATCATGCAAAAATATGTTTTATCAGAAGTAATATGCATTTCTCCAATACTATTCTGATTCCTTGAAACCCACTTTTTATAAAATAAATGTTTGATGATAGCTTGATTAGGTAATGAAGAAAACTTTATTGTACATGTACAATGTTTTGACAAGATTATGTCATCCTCAGGTACAAGTATTTTACAGAGACACATGAATATAAATACAGTATGGGAAAAAAGAGGTCACATAACTGGAGATTGCTTCACAGATTTGTATAGGTATCTTGGCATTCTGGGGTGTTGGTTTAGAGTGGGCTGTTTTGTTCAATTACTTTATTCTACATTTATTGATCCTTGGTTCTTTGTTTAAAATTACAGTGTTTTGTTCAGATATATTGTTTTTTGTTTTTCTCTTTAGTTGCGATGGTGGTAAACATGGGAGGGTTATTTTTATTATATTCGGTGAATCTGGTTTACAATTTTGTTCCAGTTTCTCCAGTGTAGAATTCTGGACAGTTATGTTTTTTTTTGTACTGAACTTTACTTCACTTAAAATCACTTGGTTGCCTACACACACACACATACACATATATATACACACACACACACCTTGCCTAACTGAGGATTCGAACTTTCTACAAACTAGGAGATGTTATGATAAAACAATACTCACATAGCGAGAAAATTCGAGAAAGATGGCGTAAACACAATGGAACTATACCCACAATGTACAACTCTTACCGAGTTACGTAATGAAATTCGTTATAACTATTCCCTTTAAAATAATTACTTTTAACATACTTGTCTTGAAAACAAAATAATCTTTAACTATTAAATCACTAAATAATAACTCTTACACTACACAGTATTGTATATCCAACACCAGCCAATCAGCAGTCAGAATTAATGATTTTTAAAGATGTCAGATGATGCAGAACGTAGGTAGGTAATTCTCTCAGTGAGTTGTTAATCTGTGGTTTGCTGTATAAATATGACACATATAGAAGAATAAATCACTTACATTTTTGTACAAAGATCGATTCTGTCTCTCAATACCTCGAGAAAAACAAAAAACTAGTGTTTGATTGATTTTGTGACACTAGAGCTAAGAGCATTCCTGTTTTTGGAAAGATGATCCAAGAAAAGCTTTAATAATGTCAGTCGAACTCGGGCTAGACGACTTCACCGCCTCAAATGAGTGGTTGGAAAGCTTTCAAAAAATGACACAATATTTCATCAGCAGTACTATCTGGAGAAGCCATTGACGTTAGCCAGGACACGGTAGATGATTGGTGCAGCAGACTTGCATCTATATGTGAGGGATCTACAGTATAGAACATTTTCTATGCTGATGAAACTGGCCTACTTGTCTGTGCCTTGCCAAATCAATCTCAGGTTATCAAAGGCAACACATGTAAAGGTGGCAAAAGTTCAAAGGAGAGAATTACAATGTCGTTAGGCTGCAGTGCAGTAGGGGAAAAACTGACTCCTCTCATTATCGGGTAGTCTGCAAATTCTCGTCCTTTTAGAGGATTTAATACATCATCATTACCAGTGATGTACGAAGCAAACAAAAAAAAAGGCTAGATGATGTCAGCCATCTTCAGTGATTGGTTTAAGAAAATCAACGACAAAATGAGGCTACAAAACCGATCAATTCTGATGTTTGTTGATAACTGTTTCGCACACCCACCTACGAAGCTTTGAAACTCATGTTCCTGCCACCAAACACAACGTCACGCCGCTTACAACCGTGTGACGGGACATCCTAAAGACTCTGAGACCAACTTATTGCAAGAAACTTCTCCATCACATGCTCCTGAATATGTCCAAGGCACAGAATGCCAGTGATCTTGCTGGTCAAGTCAACATATACTGCAATACACTGGTTGACATAAGCCTGGGACTCAGTCCAACCAGAGATGATTCGGAAGTATTTTGCACGCTGTGGGTTCATAAACCACACATTGTCAGATACACCAGAAGACATTGCCACAGATGACATTGAGCCATTACTGCAGGGGACATCATGGGATGAGTTTGTCTTGTGCGATGACTATGCTTGCATTACTGCAGTTTTGAATGAAGACTAGGGAGACATATAGAATAAAAATAAAACTCCAACCCATCAACTGAAGATGACAATGAAGCTGACAAACCACAACCCAAACAAATGACCTCCAATGCAATGGTAGTCGGATACTTAGAAGAAACTCGAAACCACGCTGAAAATGAACAACAACATGTTTCTCGATATTACATCTTCCGGACTTGTGAACATTCAAAGTGACTCTGTTAAATGTGCAAAACAAACAAAGCTGGGCGATTTTTTTATGAAATAAATTTGGTATCAATTTGTCATATTTTATATGTATAAAATAACAATATGATACATGTATGTTTATGAAATAGAGATGTGATGATTTATGAAATAAATGTTATTCGTCAAAAATATTATTATATTAATCTGCTACGTCATCTGATTACCTATACATTATGTAAACCATTATGCTCAAGCCTTGGCATTAGTGACTGGCACAGCTTGAACTCAGTCGTTCGTTATCTGGTTATTGAACCTTTGAATAACGACTTCCTGTCAGATACAACTTTGTTATCATGTCAGATAGGTTGGTCATATCTAAGAGGAACTACTGTGGTTCCTTTTTATATTTTTCACACACAAACGATACAAGAAATCAGAACATAAAAGTATGAGTACAAACTGTGTAAGTCGGATTGTATTTAAATGCAAATTAGTGATGAAATTATTAACTGTATAGATCAAGTGGTTGCTTGACGAAAAGTAACCAGTTCTGGATGCATATTTTACTGGGGGGGAATCCCCAGGCCTCGAAGAATTTTTACAGCACTACAGTATAAATACAGTTTCTCATGAAATAATACTTTGCAGTTCAGTAATCATAGTTAACCTAATATCATAAGATCTTAACATCCAGAAGTTAGCCTCAAACTTTTAGTAACAAGTATTAATAAAAAAATATATCACTAAATAAAAAAGCTATGTAGGACTGGCTACTGAACTTGGAAAAGGAACCAAACAAGAAACAAATAAATACAATTATTAAAAGTGGTTAACATAGCTCTGTACAGCTGACATGAGAGACAAGTCAACATTACTATACAAGATGGTCAAAATATGTCCTGAATTTTAAAAGAAAGTGAATGTATGGACGCATTCTTCCAAATTAGAGAACACTGAAGTATAAACATCTTACCTTGAGATTTGATGTAAGAGTCTTGTTGTTTTTGACATTGAGAACAGAGTCTACAGCAACCAACATGTTCTAACAAATGAAAGAAACTTGGTAATGTATCTAAGTAGCATTTTAGGAATTTTGAAAGTGTACTGAATAATACAACAATATTGCCAAGTTAAATGTTTATAAGTATTACATTAGTATTATGTAGGTATAATTATGTCTATGTACATAGAAAGTGGTTATAAAGAAAGTTTTGAAGTTCGGTGCATCATATCTCACAAAAGGTATGGCATAGGAATGTAAAACTGCAAAATGGTGTTAAGGTTATACTGTAATTATAAATTCCACAGTGGTCACATGTTACCACCTGGGGCATCACTGTGCTTTCACATGAATGTAAATGGGCCTGTAGATCATAATTCGGCTCATTCTACCAATACGAAACTGACAACTTTGCAGTGCTATTACACCAAAGGATTCATTGCTGAGGCAGCTCTCTGGGAATGCTTTGTTCCAATGTTACTGTGAACAAGCTTATAAAAAAATTGAGGAGATAGATTGCACTTTGAGAAGCCACGTACAGGCAGACTACTGAAACTACCGATGTCAATCATGCCATAGCAGAACAAGCCAGCACAAGTGTACATGGGTGTAGCAGTGCACATGTCTAGATTTGATCATTTCAACTGTTAATAATGCTCTTCAATCAACCTTGTGAATTTTTCCTTAAAGCTGTATCATGTTCAAGAACTGAAGGAGACAGATTTTACCCAAATTGTGAAGCATGCTTTATCCGTTTTTGGGGAGTGTGAACACAAGCAAATGGATTATCTGGTCAAAAGCTAATCCACATGTAACATTTCCTACACACCTCCATGATGCCAAGATGACAGTGTGGTGTAATTGTTTCACAGCTGATCCTGTTATTGGATATTATACTTTTTTGAAAAACCATCAGCACATGCTACATGGTAGGCAATGCTCACATCCAATGTAATTCCCATTCTGCAGTGATATACACTATAGTTGTCACGCAGATGAAGCTTCTCTGCATATTGTGAATGTTCTTGTTCACTAGGCCTAACAACAGTCAATTTCTAGTTGTGGGGATACCTAAGGCGATGTGTTTGAAGTGGGAAGCCTAACAAAATTACATACCTCAAGGATGGCATTATCTGGGAAGTGGCCAGCATACTAAATTAGATGTAAGTTGCTACTTTAATGTTAACTGTCACAAGAATGCTGAAAGAGCACATTTTAAACAGATGCTGAAATTAATAAGATATTGGGTCATAATGGTGCCAACTGGTGGCAACATGTGACAGCATCTGTAACAGGATTACCAAGTTTGAAATATTTACAATGTTATGTAATGCAATCATGGACTGGAGAATGCCAGTCTTGTTGTTTCTGTAGGTTGTGGTGAGTGTTTTGTACTGGTTGATTATTAGCTCATGTGATGACTTAAGTTATTTTTGAAGGTGAATGATTTGGTTTCAATTTATTACTTATATTACCTTGAATATTGCCATTATATTTTCTCTTTAGATTGTTGGTTGGTTTTTCGTCATTCTAAACTGTGATAAGTAAAATGTAATTAACTTTCCCATTAGGGGACAATTGTGTATAACAGCTGACACAGAGGTCAAAGGGATGGTCACCAGAGGGTCGATGTTATTATAAGTATTTTTGTATGTAACATGTGGATAGTATTAAAACATGTTTTCATTGTTATGTTTTGAGTCATTACAGTTAACCCACATTGTGGTGTTTAGTGGAATAAGCAATAAGAGAGCAAATACACACACACACATGCAATTTGCTTTCCTGTGCCAAACCTATGACATGTTGAACTTTATACACATACACATTATATGTTATGGTTAAACTGATATACCATATAAAGTTGTTGTATAACAAGGGACAGCTAAAGTGGCTTGGTAGTTAAACGTATAAGACAATCTGTATGAAACTTCTTTGGGATAGAAATATTAAGTAGTTTTAATAAAATAATATGTCTACCTGTATAAAAACATCCCTCATCTCTGATGTTGAGAGTAAGCCTCCTACATGTCCTTTCTCCACCAATGTTTTAAACACCTGTGATACCACTACCAGATCAGCCCTTGTCTCAACATTATCTACTGTCTTTGTAAAGGTATCTACAGCATGTTGAATTTTTTCTGGTGTTGAAGATATGTGTTCAACCTGTTTAAGGTAAAATGACAATTTTTATTTGAATTATTTTATTTTGCATGAACATATATTGTTACTCTTACACTATACTAAACCATATTAATTTGTTTTATAATAATTGTAAACTAAACAGATTGGTTTAAACTGTAACAACAACAGACATCCAAAATAAAACTTTCAAACTATTGGAATACACGTTTTATCACTTACAAAATAAACTCAGTAAATCCGTGCCTGGCCAGTACTTGATACAAACTTTAATAATATCAATGTTAATAGTTTCAATAAATATCAAATGAATTAGGAAAAAAGAACCAGAAGAAGAAAAAACAAATTCCGAAAACCACAATTTTCTAAAACTAAACCACTTCTCAAGATCAACAATTCGTTCTAACTATATCTCGTAGACTCGTTTAAGATCAAGGAAAGATTTCTATTTAGTTGTTAGACCACGAGATTACCTCTCATGTGGCTAGCTAATTTACATAATCTTTGACAACAATAATATCTGTGTGTCACCACTAGAAGATGCTTGTGTCAGTTTCATAATATAAGTACTATAATTCAACATGCTTTAGCTAGAAGGTGAGTTAGCATTTTAATATAACTACAAATTCATAGTTGAACTAAATGATAGAATGAATAATAAATATACGGTAAACAAAACCCTAACAAAATAAAAATAGAATTCGCTATCTCAGTCTTCCCCCTTGTAAAAACGAAGTGATAACATTAATCACTTCATACAAGTTAACCCTGGTGCCGAAATTCGTAACTAATTGAACAAGAATATAATTAATTTTTAAGTAAGATTAGCATATATTTCAACATTATACTTATTAGACTGTTATCAGTTATAATTACCTATTTCCTGTGATTTTAAATATTTATTTGATTCATTTTTAATTTTCTTGCTCACTTCTGAAGACTGAGATATTTTGATTATTTAACTTCACTGAAGACTGGCCTGACTCTCTAAATCTTTTTGTTCTAAGACCTGGTGTCCCTCGGTGAGAGAGCGCTAAGTTCACGGACTTAGAACAATAAAACATGAGATTCGATTCCCCGTGGTGGACACAGCAGATAGCTCAAGGTGGCTTTGCTCTAATACATCCAACCAACCAGCTAAGCCAAGTTAATTTATGATGCACATTTTGTTATTTTTCTGTTGTATATTTGAGTGATTTAGGCCTCTACATACTTACAGTATTCAATATATTATAAAGTTTGTCCTGCACACATTCTGAAAAGTCTGGCAACTCCCAGGTCCCATTTTTTCTACACTGTCGCTTTACCTGTCCTGAAACATCCAAAATATTTAAACTCTAGAGATTTATGGTAATTTTAGTTGAGTTTTTACAATAATACTTTGTATTTTCTATTTAATTAATGACCTTATTTAATGATAATTAAATCGTTGGTTTGATGATACCTGTGGCGATTACAGAGCATATAGCCCTGATACCCATGGTGGTTACAATGTAGATAGTCCTGATACCTATGGTGGGTACAGTGCAGATAGCCCAATACCTGGGATGAGCACGATATAGATAACCCCAAAACTGTGTAGATTTCCCAATACCTGTGGTGGTTGCAGTGCAGATAGCTCAATTTTTTTTATCTTTGAGCTTAAACACAAAAAACAAACAAAAACTTTTAAATAATATTTACTAACATTCGTAGCTGTTAAAAAACCTTTAAATAATATTTACAAGCATTAGTAGCTGTAAAAAAAACCTTTAAATAATATTTACTAACATTAGTAGCTGTTAAAAAACATTTAAGTAATATTTAATAACATTAGTAGCTGTTTAAAAAAAACCTTTAAATAATCTATATACTACTAAAACTCTGAGATTGTTTGTTTGCTTGTCTGTAATTAAATACAGCAAAATTAAATTATCTCAAAATAAACCTTCATTTCGGTGCAATATTGAAAATAGCTTGAATTCTTCATAAACTCTGAATAGTGGTTGATCCAATGGGTCACGGTGGTCTAGTATTTAATAACACTAATAGCTGTTAGCACCATAAATACATATTTTCTTATTTCTGTTTATATCATCGCACTATATAGCAATGCCACAACATACCTGTTCTACCTGCTTTACAAGAAACCTTAGCAATTTCTCCTTGGATGGTCATTGGCCAAATGTAATCTTCAAGTACTGCAGAACATGGGCTGAATTCTTCTGTACATGACTGTAGCTCTATGCTGTGGTTCACACATTCTCCTTCTATTGGGGAAATTGCACAACACTGGTGAACCCTTCGTGTTCTCAGTTGCTGGTCTGGTAACCTCATGCATGAACTCCAGGATGACCATGGGCCCCAACCCTTTCCCATTGGATCAGAGATACACTCTAGGTATGTGTGGATTGTAGAAACGTTTTCATCTTGTCGAAGTTCAACTTTCTCCCACCATGCTCGCTGAAAGTTCTGGGCTAAGAGTAGAATTGCTGCTACACTTCCTAAATCATTTAAAATGTTTAAAATTTTAGCCTAACGATTTAACGAGTTTATTTCTATTCAGCTAACTTACAATTATTTTATAAACTTCTACTTATTTACATAATTGAATAAATTCCCAAAATCTTTATAATAAACAGAATTCTAAACGAATTTACCCAGAACTTTAAATGTTTGATACAGCCTCAGTTATTTTTAGCTACTCTTTCTTGACAGAGAAAATTCAAATATGTATTTCTCTATGTTACATTTATCGGTCAGAAGTTTCATATTTACTTTTGAAATATGTTTGGATAAAATTACAGATAAGTAAGACATTAAATCTCTCCATTTCCAAACAATGGAAACAAAACACAAAACTTTTTCAAGATTCCATCAAACGACTTAGAAGTATTTTACTATTCTTTGTCTGTGTTTTAACTTCTTAGTTCAATACTTAAGCTCTCTTTCATAGAAGCACAAAGATGAATATTAATGTATGTTTTAAGTTCAAAATCAAAAGGGCAATACAGCAATCTTTACCCTTTTCCCCTTATCAAGCACACATAAAACTCCTTTCCTTGATGTACATTCTCCTATATAATGCATAATATTCTATTAACATATAAAACATATGAAGAATTTGTCGGCATCACTTGCCTTTCTTCAAAGTTTTTATTTTCATTAATTCAGGGTTTAGTACAGATAGTCTGGTTCTCAGTTGATGAAGACTGTTGTCATCCCATTTATTCTGCCGATAGGAAGCAATGAGAAGGGCATGACTCCCATCTTCTGGTATGCGACTAAACAGGTCCACTGTGGAATCTTCTGAATCACATGACAGGAGCCACTTATTTGGAATCTTTCAAGTAAAAATAGCAACGATGGTGGTTTAAGCATCAGTACTTTGTGAAAGAAAAATGAACTAATTCACAAACAAAAATGCAGAGGGTTGCTTAGTTAACCAGTTGCAATTGTCATTGTGACTTAAAAATCAAATTAATATTTTATTATAGTTTCGAGAATTAAAAATTATTTTTTATCAATGTGATGTGTTTGCATGAAAATAAGAAGGAATCCTCAATTGCCGCTGCACTTGAAATTCTTTTAGACAGGATTAGAATAAATTAATCTAGAGACCTTAGGCGTGGTCAAATAAATGAATCGAAAGGGTTTGACCTCCTGAGTTCAAACCTGCAATTAGATTCTCAAATCGTTCAATAAATGACGAAGCTATGAACTAAAAGTTTGTACTTGAAAAAAAAAAAATCAGAGCCGTTTTATGAGCCACTATGCCGCAGCAAAAAATTATAATGATCAGTGGATCATTACCTTTCTAATATCTGTAATCTGGTGACAGTGCAGAAAAAAAAACCTTTAGGTATTAACGTTTGAATTGAATTGCTTTCAAAATGTTTATATTCTTAACTAAACTTTATTGATACAAACATTGTTGCAAAGATGATTTAGTTTTTCTTTTAAAAATATATTTCACAATATTAATACATAATACATTTTATACACTTACAAACTTCCAGATGGTTTCAGTAAAGAGATACAGAAGGAAATTACTTTATGAACTTGGAGTATTTAACACAAATACAAACAAGTCTGATGATATCACGTGTTTCTCTATTTAAAACTATTCGTAAACACACACTTGATATAACGAGACTTTTAAACTATTCATAAACACACACTTGATATAACGAGACTTTTAAACTATTCATAAACACACACGTGATGTAGCCAGACTTTAAAACTATTCGTAAACACACACTTGATATAACGAGACTTTTAAACTATTCATAAACACGCATGTTATGTAGCCAGACCTTAAAACTGCTCATAAAGACACACATTATGTAACCAGACGTTTAAACTATTCATAACACACACATTATGTAGCCAGACTTTAAACTGTTCATAAATGCACACTTGATGTAGCCGCTTTTAAACTGTTCTTAAAAAAATGTGATGCATCCAGACTTTAAAGCTGTTTAGTGACACCCATGATGTAGCTTCAAAGGTATTTATAAAGACATCATTTTAAGAGTTTATTCAATTACGTAAACTCAAAAAACTATTCAGTCTGGCTACATCACGTGTGTGTTTATGAATAGTTTAAAAGTCTCGTTATATCAAGTGTGTGTGTTTATGAATAGTTTTAAAGTCTGGCTACATCACGTATGTGTTTATGAATAGTTTAAAAGTCTCGTTACATTAAGTGTGTGTTTATGAATAGTTTTAAAGTCTGGTTACATCACGTGTGTATTTATGAATAGTTTTAAAGTATTTCTATGAACGAGGAGATTGCTATTTTTAATATTTGTGGGGTTAAAGTAATTCAATAATTTTCTACTGGCACTGAATTCATTCACAAAAAAAAATGTAAAAGTTTTTGTAATATTTACACTTAACCTTTACATTTTTCATTAATATTGCATATTATTCTGTTTTACCCGTTTTATTAGATAAATAAAATAATACATGTCTGTTTTACCCGTTTATGAGATAAATAAAATAATACATGTCTCCTTATCAATATAGTTCCTTATGTTGATTAAGCCTACTTCTAATAATTGAGAATAAATGTTATAAGTAAATTAGAATAAATAATAATAATAAAATAATATGTATTTCAACAATTATCATATTAATTTTTATAGTGACACTCACTTTGGGGGAAAAAGACAGAGTTGGCTTTGTTCCATGATGCAGTTGTTTTTTTCGGAAAGTTTAAAGACATCTGGCAAAAATGTTTCACTTATTTCATAGCATAAAAATATAAAAGATTAATTGTAGATAATAAACTGCATCATACCACAAGATCTCATTTATGCGAAAAGCAAAATCATAAACGAAACGAATGAAATTTCAAATTACCTCATGAGTGAGCAGATTAACAACGGCAACAGCAACACCACAAAAGTGATTGTTTATAGATTTGAAAATTCTTTTTCCATTGACAAGCATAATGTTAGTTGGATTGAACCAAGAATTTGAAACCTGGTAATGTCCTACACCATGTACTTCAACACTAAGTCCTGTGAAACAAATATTCGGAAAAATATATTAATTTTTCTTTATATTTCAACAGTGACACTCTAATTCTATAATTGTCATATGAAACTTACTGCACATACTAAAACCAATGGCTAATTGTGTTTAACCCTGGATTAATTTTGATTTGTAAGAAGTGAGTCAGAACCCACGCACCGTTTGTTAGTAAAGTAAACAGACTGTAAGTGGCGAGTCAGAACTTATACACTGGCTGTTAGTAAAGTAAAACAGATTGTACGAAGTGAGTCAGAACACATAGACCGTCTGTTAATAAAGTAAAACAGATTGTAGGAAGTGAGTCAGAACACAAAGACCGTCTGTTAGTAAAGTAAACAGATTGTAAGAAGTGAGTCAGAACACATAGACCGTCTGTTAGTAAAGTAAACAGATTGTAGGAAGTGAGTCAGAACACATAGACCGTCTGTTAGTAAAGTAAACAGGTTGTAAGAAGTGATTCAGGGCACATAGACCGTCTGTTAATAAAGTAAAAGAGATTGTAGGAAGTGAGTCAGAACACACAGACTGTCTGTTAGTAAAATAAACAGATTGTAGGAAGTGAGTCAGAACACATAGACCGTCTGTTAGTAAAGTAAACAGGTTGTAAGAAGTGAGTCAGAACCCACACACCGTCTGTTAGTAAAGTAAACAGACTGTAAGTGGCGAGTCAGAACTTATACACTGGCTGTTAGTAAAGTAAAACAGATTGTACGAAGTGAGTCAGAACACATAGACCGTCTGTTAATAAAGTAAAACAGATTGTAGGAAGTGAGTCAGAACACATAGACCGTCTGTTAGTAAAGTAAACAGATTGTAAGAAGTGAGTCAGAACACATAGACCGTCTGTTAGTAAAGTAAACAGGTTGTAAGAAGTGAGTCAGACACATAGACGTTCTGTTAGTAAAGTAAACAGATTGTAAGAAGTGATTCAGGGCACATAGACTGTCTGTTAGTAAAATATACAGATTGTAAGAAGTGAGTCAGAAGACATAGACTGCCTGTTAGTAAAATATACAGATTGTAAGAAGTGTCGGTTAGTAAACAGATTGTAGAAATCATCTGCTTGTAGCTGCTCCACCCAGGAGATTAGCTGCCAATGCTAATCCATTTTAATCAATCCATTTTCTCCACTGTTGACCTCTATCAATGTTTTTGAATATCATTTGCATAAACGTACGAGGGAGGTATCCCTCCCCCAGCTCGTAATTAATACGGCCATTCTGGTAAATTGTCAATTTAAATTCGGGCAAAATTAGAAGCCGAAAATATGGTGATACTTGTTCCCTAAACCTTAGCTTTTTTACTCATAACCTCATTAGGGCAAATATTGTACAGCCTCCTTCCCCCTCTGACAAATATCCCGTATGCTTATATTTATTTGTTTTGATAATGTGCCCAAAATACTGACACTTTCTTTTTTCGATGTCTTCTTTTAGTGTACGCTTTGTTTTAGCCATTTCCAGTCTTTTATCGTTTGTTTTATATTCTGTACATGATAATTTCAACATTATTATAAGAATCTACAATTCTATTTGCAAATATATATATATATATATATATACACAAACAGACATAAGAAAACCAAAGTAATATCTTTTACTAATAATCTTATCTGTACATTCTGTTAGACTACTAATGTACTTATTTATATATATTGTTACGTCTCCGTTTGTTAATTAACTTTCAGTAACTTCGTTCCGACGAAACTTTAGCGACACAAGTTCT